TCCTTCACCTCCATCCTCAGTTGTCTTGTGCCCCTCTCACTCATAGTCCTCCCTCGGCCAACCCCTGCCGCCGCCACCCCCCCACTCCCCCTCCTCCTGCTCTGCAGTCTCCCCCAGAAAGCCTAGTATTGCTGAAGAAAAGTCACAACCAGGCATTTTAATTTTAATTTGGCTAGCTCAAATGGGCTCTCCATGTTCCTGATTTTCCTGCCACATTTTCCTAACCCACTCACACATCCACTCTCTGAGGTGGCCGTTGTACACCAGAGCCGCCGTGACGGAGTAGTTACCTGTTCCACATGGTCAGACTGGGCTTTCTACTCACGTAGATAGTTGCAGTCTCAGAAACCCACAAGGACTCGCTGTGAGTCAGCATTGACTCCGTGGTAGTGAGTTTGGTTTTTGGCTTTCTCTCTGCTTGAACTTGCCTGTCCAGACTTGCTGCTGGTGGCATTGTTTCCTATTTCACTAAGAAAATAGATGTATCAGGAGGGAAATAGCACACTTCTTGCCACTTCATCTGCTAACCTACCTGTACCCGCCTCTCCTCTCTCCCTAGGTCGGCTTCCCCTTGCCTGCTCAGGACCTCACCACTGAAGTCTTCCTCTCTTTCACTTAGGCTGTTTTGCTGTCGCTATAGAATCCCATCTATCAGCATACACCCACCCCCTACCCCCCACCCCCACCCCCCGAGGTTCCTAGATCGTACCTGTTTACGGGAATAGAAAGCCCAGTGTTTCTCCTGTGGAGCTGCTGGCAGTCTGGAACTGTCAACCATGAGGCCTGTACCCCAACACATGACCACTGCACCACTAGGGTTCCTCACGTTAATCTGTTTCTTTAAAAAGCAAAATCTTCCTTTGACCTGATATTGAGGAGCCTGTGGGAAGTATCATATGAGGCTCTCTGCTCCTGGACAGATTTACAGAAACCTATAAGGGAAGTTCTACTCGGTCATGAGTCAGATTTGACTCAATGGCAGTGTTTTTTGTTTGTTTTGTGGTTTTGACCTTATATGTCTCTTCAGCTATCGTTATATTACTTGGTTCACTTTTACAGCAAAACTCATAGAAAGATTTGTTTTTATGCCTTTTCTCCTCTTCCCATCATCTTATTTTCTCTTGCTCCTTCCTCTGGTGCCACCAGAGCAGCTCTTGTCAAGGCCACCTATCACCTGGTTGCAGGACCAACCTCTGTGTGGCAAAATCCAATAGCTGCTAAATTCTAGATTTTGGTCCTCATCTCCCTTCCTCAGCATCAGCCATCGACCAGTTGGAGTCCTTGCTCCCTGACAGGCTTTTCCCTGGGCTGCTAGCTTCCGCATTTTTTGGGGTGCCTCCTACTTGCTGATTGAGTACCTCTTGCTGGGTCACCTGAGCTCCCACACGGATGACTTTGGAAATCCCAAGGTCCTCAGACTGCTTCTCCTTTTTATCTGCACTCACCCTGTGGGCGATCCCCGCCCCCGCCCCCCGTGGGTGTCTTAATGGTCTCATAGCATTAAATTATCAATTTATCTACACATTTACACAAGAGGGCTGAAAAAAGAATAACAATTTATAAATTATCAAGGGGGAGGGAGGGGGGAAAATGAAGGGCTCAAGTAGAAAGAAATTGCTTTGAAAATGACGATGGCAACAAATGTACAAATGTGTTTGACACAATGGATGGATGGATAGCTTGTGATAAGAGCTGTATGAGCCCCCAATAAAATTGATTTTTGTTTAAATGAAAAAAATCCAAGAGGGCTTCAAAAAGCTCATGGAAAAATTCTATTCATCTTTCAATTCAAAATTTCCACGAGCTTTTTGAAGCCTCCTTGTATAAATAAGTCTTTATCCATCAAGAAAAATCCAAATTAAATTACTTTAGTGTAATTTGTTTTCTTAGAAAGTTTTCAGTGGTTCTCAAGAGAACATTTTTATATTTACGTTTATAAATGTAACAAATATCACATTTTGATATTTGTTATGCAATCAGTCGAGGTTGCATGAAAACAAACAAAACAAAAAACAAGGAACTTCTACAATAGATATCACAGAATTTTAGAAAATGAAATGGCATTCTAGGCAATTAGCTTCTTAGGCTGTAGCTTTGGCGCGTATAATATTCACATAATTAAGATAACAACTAACAAACAAACAGAAACACTCACTGCCATCAAGTTGACTCAACTCAGTGGCCCTACAAATGGGGTAGAGCTGCCCCTGTGGGTTTCCAAGACCGTAATTCTTTACAGGAGTAGAAAACCTCATTCTTCACACACACACCCCCAGCAGCTAGTGGGTTCAAACTGCTAGCCTTGTGCTTAGCAACCCAACACGTAACTCACTAAGCCATGAGGGCTCCTCTTCCTTAAGATAAGTGCCCATAAATTACTCTGCTATCCTGGCAAAGCCAGGGACCACTGCATTACAGTTTCTACCACCAGGTGTGTATATGTGTTTGACTCAAACACAGATAGCATTGAAATCTTTTACCTTACTGTAGAAACAAAAATCCATGGCACCAAACGTCATTAACACAGGAAGCACTATTAAAGTATCTATTGATTTTTGAGTCTGAGGTAGTTAATTAAGATGAATATAAACTAACCATCATTTTATTTGAATTTTCTAAAGCAACTGGCCTTTGCCAGATGAAAGTTTTTATAAAATGAAACTTTTACACTATCCGGTGGGGACTTTATTTAGTTGAAAGAGTGAAACAAAAATGATCAGTTTTTGTAGTCATTTTTCCTGTCTGCCCCAGGAACAAGGAGAGAAGAATTACTTGGGGGAAACTGGTGAAGAAACTTATATGAGAAAGTGAACGTTTATCTTTTTAATTATTAGCACATGGTATATGGAGACCCTCTGGCACATAAAGTTTTTACGTAGATAACAAACTAGAAACTCAGTGACTTTGAGAGGAGGGTACATTGGAATCGGCACTCAATTTAATTGGTACAGCTAGTTGATCTGGAGTATTGAGGACCAACATGAATGATCTGCAAATTAGCTACACACTTGCCAAATAATCACATCATTTTAAATCTCATAGAGCCATTTTATGGAGTCTCTGAGTGGTGCAAACATTCAAGCTGTCAACTGCTAGCTGGACAGTGGGTAGTTGGAGCCCACCTAAAAGTGCTGAAGAGGACAGGCCAGGTGATGTGCTTCCAGGTGTCACCGTTCTGAAAACCACCCCGGAAGAGGTCTGCTCTGCACATATGGAATTGCCATCATTTGGATTCAAACTCAATGGCAACTAGAAGCAACATCAGAAATATTCTATACTTATATTAGGGAAAATGTCATAAGAAATGAAATACAACTTTCCTCTAGTTCCTAAATGTTTCCTCCTCGCTCCCACTACTATGACTCGAATTCGACCTTGCAAGTCTGGCTAGACCAGAGGATGTACACTGGTACAGATAGGAACTGAAAATACAGGGAATCCAGGGCGGATGAGCCCTACAGGACCAGTGTTGTGAGTGGCGAAACAGGGAGGGTAGAGGGAGAATGGGTAGGAAAGAGGGAACCGATTACAAGGAACTATATGTGACCTCCTCCCTGGGGGACGGACAACAGAAAAGTGGGTGAAGGGAGACGTCAGACAGGGCAAGATATGACAAAATACCAATTTATAAACTATCAAGGGCTCATGAGGGAGGGGGGAGCGGGGAGGGAGGGGAAAAATGAGGACCTAATGCCAGGGGTTTAAGTGGAGAGAAAATGTTTTGAGAATGATGAGGACAATGAATGTACAAATGTGCTTTACACAATTGATGTGTGTATGGATTGTGATAAGAGTTGTATGAGCCCCTAATAAAATGATTTTTTTAAAAAAGTAAATGTTTCCTAAGCAAAGAAATATATAAATATATGTGAAGTTTCCATTGAGAGCTGGGGGTTTTCATAAGCAATGCCTTGTCAGTTAATAAGACCGATTCAATGTTTTGTAGCTCTATTATGATAAAAATGTTTCAGGTCTGCCTTTGCTTTTAAGTAATTTCTGCCGTTTACAATGTGGTGTCACCCGTATAGACACACACATGCATCCACTTCCATACGTGCACACACCCACACTCCCAGGACTTGAGAAGGATAGAGAAACAAGGTGTATTAATCTAGGTAGAATAGAGAAACAAATCCAAGGACACTCATGTGTGTAAGAGAGAACTTTATATCAAAGAGCAATTGTATATTAAGAAAATGTCCCAGCCCAGTCCAGAACAAGTCCATACATTCATTGAGATTAGCCCATAAGTCTGATTCTAGTCAATAATTCCCTCTTCAGACTCATGCAGCTCATGCAATGATGCAGAATGCAGGAAGATCACAGGCTGTGGGTGAAAAGTCTTGTGGATCCAATGCTGGAAGCATCGCAATGCTGTTGCGGGTCTCTACGTGCTCCTCCAGCTCATTGAGCGTGGCTCCTCATAGGAAGGTGAAGCAGGTCTTGCAAGTCTCCACGTGGCTTGACCACAGGAAGACAGAGAGTTAGTTCCCAGAATCCTCATGAGAAGGCCACGCCCACAAAGAGCCGTCATCCGCCTGTGGCCTGATTGACAGGCTGGATTCCACCCCTACACTTTTTAATCAAGTTGACATGAAATTATGTAACTACCACATGGGGATAGCCTCAAAACATAGTTTGTTTTCGTTTTTTAAAGCAGAGATCAAAAGTCCATTAAATTTATGTGCTTTTTAGTTATTATACAATATAGAGAATATGATCCTCGGAAAGATTGTCCCCCTGAAACAGTGAGGGCTTCTGATGAACAGGTGCACAAAAAAGCTCTTTTAGAAGTACAATACTGTTTGTTGTGAACAGACTCTTAGGGAGAGTGAGAGGTGGTAGAACATATCCAAAGAGGATACATATTTACCCTTTATTACAACTGCAATGTGAGGAGCTTTTCCGGATTCGGGGGAGGCCCTCTTAAATCAGTGCTGCGCTCAAAGCCTCAGACTTTTGTTTTCTGACAGTTCTCCGACTGACCCTTTTCTTGGCAGGTTCCTGAAGGGAAGGTGGTTGTCCTCAATTTCCGATTCATAGACCTGGAGAGTGACAACTTATGCCGCTATGACTTTGTGGATGTGTATAATGGGCACACCAACGGCCAGCGCATCGGGCGCTTCTGTGGCACATTCCGACCTGGAGCGCTTGTGTCCAGTGGCAACAAGATGATGGTGCAGATGATTTCTGATGCTAACACAGCTGGAAACGGCTTCATGGCCATGTTCTCGGCCTCTGAACCAAACGAAAGAGGTACTGTTCCTACACAAGATAGCAGCAGTGATAAAAACCCACTGCCAGTGAGTTGATTTCGACCCATAGCAACCCCTTAGGACAAGGTTAGAGCTGCCCCTGTGAGTAGTTCTATACGGGAGTACAGAGTGTCCTTAGTAGCCCCAATGTAAAAGCGGTTTACCACCAGAGCTCCTAGCAAATAATAGTAGCTCCTATTTAGAGAGTACCTAACTATGTCTCACGCACTATCTGGACACTCTCTATTTACTTCTTTAATTTTTCAAAAGCAAGAGCTAATGAACACCACCAAACCATCAAGAAAGCATTTTTAAAACCTTTTTTTTAGCCAATATACCTTGTTGTAAAAATTCAACATAGCCATTCATGGAGTGGAAATGTGTTGCTTTCACTCTCCACCATCCCATTCTAGCTCCTTCTCCAGGAGGAGCCGTGGCAGGTGCTTTCTGTAGCACTCTGTGCACTTATGAAGCACGCGAGATAAAACACCCATATTGTTTCATAATTGGATCTTTTCCTACTCAGTACTTTTATCTGGGGATATCCACAGCACATATGAGCTGTGTTCGAAGCAAGCAAATTAAAATGGTTTGGAGAAGTCAAAAAAGGAAATTCATTTGTTTGATCCAAGGGCTGGCTTATAGCAAGCGCTCTCTAAACCAGTGATGCCCAAATTGAGCTATGCTGCCCCCTAGGGGCACTGGAATGATCCAGCGGAACTGCAAAAACAAACACCTATACTTTCCCCTGGATTATGGGCTAGCTTACAAAAGATTTTAATTGCCAGGGGGCTTTTTTTTTTTTTAGTAATTTTTTTTCCTGAAAAGGGGATAATAGACAAAACAAGAGTTTGGGAAACTTCTGTAGCCAGTCTCTAATATGTGCTCAAAGTAGCTTAGCATTTATAGTGTAGAACATGTGTGTTGATTTATAATCGACTATACACTCACTTATATGACCAAGTTTACTGGGTGCGTCATGAATAAGGCACTGAGGTTGGGGGTGGAGATGACATGTAAAGCTAATTTGGAGTGAACCCTAACGTCTAAGAAACTACAATCTAGTGGAGAGAGACAGAGATGTGTAACGAAGTAGAAGAGTCTGTTACCAACATCACTCCAATATGGTGGGCTTTAGGGGCCTAGATTCAGGGAAGGTTCATGGAGAAAGGGTGCTTGAGCTGACCTTACTCCACTGATGGTTGGGAGGCAGTAAGAGAGGGAGAACATTCCAGTCACAGGGAATTTATGATTGATAATCTAGAAGTCTTAAACAGCATTGCTTATTGGAATAACTGTCAATAATAAAAATAACTTCCATTAATTGAAGTTACACATATGTGCTGTGTGTCCCTCAAAGGGGCACTCTTGGATGGGTCGTGCTTCTGGAGAGAAGGGAAGTAGTAAGGAAAGGAGAGGCACCCTGTGGAAATGGAGGTGAAAGAAAAGTGACGCGAGGGGAAATCTAAGCTGTTACAGAAACAAGAAGATTGTTAAGAATTTAGGCACACAAATGCTCTTTCTTTCCTCAAGTTGGCCATTCAGTTAAAAATCTTTAGCAAACTCATAGAAGAGGATGTATTTCAAAAAGAGGACCTATGCAAAACACCTCCGGCTACTAAATCTGTCCATAAAATTCAGATGTACAAGCAGTCTCCAACCAAAGAAATAAACTCATTGCTATCTAGTTCGTGCTGACTTATAGTGATCCCCGTGGGTTTCCAAGACTGTGGCTCTTTACAGGAAGAGAAAGGCCGGTCTTTCTCCCAATGAGCTGCTGGTGGTTTCAGCTGATGACCATGCAGATCGCAGCCCAACATTTAGTCACTACACCAGCAGGGCTCCATCTAAACAAAATTACAGAACCCAAATATTACATTTAAAATGCTTGCCTAGTAACCTCTCCACAAAAAGAAGAACATGTGAAATAACACTATCAACTTAATCCTCCTCAAAAAAGCAGTTAAGAATACAAAAAAATAGCCACCACTGCCCAAGAAAACAAAACAACAAAAGGCCAGACACAAATGAAACAAGATCTGATTGAACATAGGAACAAAAGGGGAGGAGAAAGACAAAGTCAAAGACAAAGAAAGAAAGACTGAATTATGAAGGAAAGGAAGGCTGAGTTATAAGAGATCCAAGAAAGACTAGATGTGAAAAAACATAATGAGGGAGACTAGAGAAAAGCAAGAAGAAAACTAAAAGGAAAAAAGGTAAGCCAAGGAAAAAGGGTCCGGGGGAACGAAGAAAAGAGCTAGCAGGAGGGTGGAGGAGAGTATTAGTCCTGGTTGACTAGAGAAACAAATCCCGAGACACTCATATGTGGGTAAGAGAGAGCTTTGTATCAAAGAGCAATTGTATATTGAGAAAACATCCCAGACCAGCCCGGATCAAGTCCATAAGTCCGATATTAGCCCCGATGTCCAATACTAGTTCATAAAGTCCTCTTCAGACTCACTCAGCCACGTGCCATGATGCCGAAAGCAAGAAGATCACAGGCCAGTGGGTAGAAAGTCTTGTGGACCCAGTGGGGTGGAAGCATCTCAGCACAGGCACAGGTCTCCACGAGGCTCCTCCAGCTCTCTGAGTGTCTCAACAGAAAGGTGCAGCAAAGAGTGAGTGTGGCCTGCCTCCAGGGAGAAAGAAAGTTCCCAGAATCCTCATGAGAAGCCGACGCCCACAAAGAGGCATCATCAGGCTGTGACCTGATTGACAGGCTAGACTCCACTCCTATACTTATTTATGAAGTTGACATGAGATTATGTAACCACAGAAAGAAAGTTTGAAATGGAAGGCAAGCTTTTATGTATAACTTATGTATAACTAGAGCCCCAGAGGAAGAAAACGCGGTCGAAAATAACTGATATTTGAAACTTTGTTCCAAGAAAACTGTCCAGAGATAAATACAAATGAATCTACATCTTGAAAGTGGCCACCAATTACCAGGAAATTTTGACCAGCATCAACTCATAGACATTTCCTAGTGACCAATTAGACACTAAAGTTAACGGAGAAGGGGGGAAAAAAACCAAAACAATCTTTAGGCAAAAAGAAGGAGCCCTGGTGGAACAGGGGTATAGCTGTACGTGCATTCAGATTGCTAAACAAAAGGCTACTCTGTGTGAGAAAAGACGGCGTGGTGATCCGCTCCCATAGAGATCAGCCTAGGAAACCACAGGGCAGTTCTACTCTGTCCCACAGGATCACCGCGGGTCGGAACCGACTGACCGGCACACAGCAACAGGCAAAACAAGGAACTCCCAAACGATCAACGCACTGGGGCAAGTCAATTCTGACTCAGAGCAACCCTATAAGACAGAGTAGAAATGCTCTGGAAGCTTCCCGAGACTGTAAGTCTTTACCGGTGCAGACAGCTTCACCTTTCTCCAGTGGAGTTACAGGTTTTTGAAATGCTGACCTTCTGGTTAGAAGTCTAATGTTTAACCCACTGTGCCACTAGGGCTCCTTAATGATCCATAAGGGCAAAGAAATTAGACTGATATCAAACATCAAAGGCAACACACAAAATAAGGTAATTTGCAATATTTTCAAGAGACTCCAGGTCAAAGCATGAACCACTAGTTTATCCATCACGTAGTGAAGGGTATAGAAAAATAATTGTCTATCTGCATCTAAAAACTCAAGGTGTACTGTGCCGTGCCGGTGACCTTCTTGCCTTCTGTGTACCGAAATGTTTTATTAGAACATAATACTTCTTTTTGTTTAAAGTCAGTGTTTTTGCTAAATTCAAGTAAAGATAAATTTAGAACTTTATTTAAAAGGCTTTCTAAAATTAAGTCAGATAGAGGTCTGAACTACTATGTGTCCAATAGTAACCACAATTAATTTGGGTAGTGGGATTTAGTGTAATTTTCAGTTTCTTTGTGTATATTTGTATTACTGAAACAATTTGAGTATGTTTTGTTTTTACAGACCAAAAATCATTCTTAAGAATGGTTCAAGATTTATACCAGATTCAGTTTTCTGTTTTATAGCATGTTAAGTGTTTGCAGTCTCGGGGACCTACTGGGGCAGTTCTACTGTGTCCTACCAGGTTGCTGTGAGTTTGTATTGACTCAATGGAAGTGAGTTATTTTAAGTTTTCTAGTAATAAATGTTGTCACACCAGCTAATTGAAACTCTTATCTATGTTTGTAAATTTAACCCTGCTAATACATAACCCAGCCTTGAAGTTTCTTAAAATATACGTAGTTTATTGAGGCTACGTGCTTTCAGAATGTGCATGCCCAAATATTTTATCTTTCCTTGTCGAAAAGAAACAAAGAGCTATGGCCCTCAACTCCTTCTCATTTACCTTGATGTGATTTGTCAGGTAAATGAGAACATAGCGATAGTTCATTTACTCATTTGTGTGTGTGTGTGTGTGTGTGTGTGTGTGTGTGGCCAATTTTTTTAAGAGACTGTGTCAGAGCTCTGCCGTCGTCTGTATTCAGTCTAGCATCACTGCTGAGAATCCACACTGACTCACAGCAGCCTCATAGGAAAGAGTAGTCCTGCTGCCTCAGGCTCCTGAGACTGTAAATATTTCCCTCAGAGCAACTGGTAGGTTTGGACCACCCACCTTTTGGTTAAACTTTATTCATTGCTTGAAAACAACCAACCACTTTGCCGCAAGGGCTCCTTCTCTTTAGTATTGTATTCTCCAATACACCAGAGTTTTCATCTCTGTGTGGTTTTTATTCTGTAGCTATTCTAAAACCTGTGTTTTTTATATATTTAATTATTTCAGGGGATCAGTATTGTGGAGGACGACTGGAAAGATCTTCTGGCTCTTTTAAAACTCCCAACTGGCCAGACCGGGATTACCCTGCAGGAGTCACCTGTGTGTGGCACATCATAGCCCCCCAAAATCAGGTGAGATGTCCTCAAACTGGGAAGAACACATGTGCAGAATCCAGCTGCTCCCTGGGGCTTGCAAGACTGTTACCTTTTAGAAGCAAATCACCAGGCCCAACTTCCAAGACACATCTGGGTGGGTTTGAACTGCCCACCTTTTGGCTAGACATCTGAATTCAGGGCTCCTGCTTCAGGGGAATGTGCTGTCTGTCCAAATCCTTATCTCTTTCAGCTTCTGTCATGCAGGCCCCTGGTGATCTCTACATGGTATTCTTTCGCCATTTGTATCTCCTTGCTTCTGGGCCTAATCTACTCTTTGTATCAAAAGCATGTCCAACGCTGATTTGGCACAATTAATATACAAAAGAAAACCCTGTAACCCTGGTGGCATAGTGGTTATGCTGCCAATCACAAGGTCAGCAGTTCAAAACCACCAGCCAGCTCCTTGGGAGAAAGAAGAGGCTTTGTACTCCAATAAAGACTGACAATCTCAGAAACCCACAGGTGCAGTCTGACCCTGTCCTAGAGAGTCAGTATGAGTCAAAGTTGACTTGATGGCAGTGAGTTTGTTTATTTTGTTTTGTTTTTGTATCTCTAAGTAAGATCACACCCCCAAGGACAGGCATTAGGATTTGGAACACATATTCTTAAGGGGAGAGCGTACATGTGTGAACT